CTATCGCTTTATTTTAGTGATTCTTTGTATTTTAATACTTTTACAGATTACGTAAATATGCTATCAATCGCTTCTCTCCTTCATCTAAATTAGTTCTGTTGAATCTTCGAGTATCCGCTATTAACCTTTAGATCATCTAATACTGTAATAAATAGGGTTGTGTTACATAAATTACAATTTTGCAATACGTATATATATATATATTTATATAATTTATATTTTTTCCTTTTATAAATTTTATGATGGACGTTTTTTCCAGAAAGTCGGACTATAACAGCTCCTTTGACGAAAATTCTCTTTGTTATCATATTGTAAGTAATATAATAATTTTTTTTTTCCCCCATTTTGTTTTTTTTTTTAAACAGTTAAAAAATTTTTTAAAATTAATATAGGAAGGTTTTATTAATTGTTCATACTTAAATTCTGCAATCGATGTGGGTAACAAACTAAAACAATCCAGAGTCAATTCTAAAGATAGAAATATATCAACAGTGGATATTAATGTATCAGTTCATGAAAAAGAAAAGGTTTGATGTTATGTCAAATATTTTATTAAATTTTTTAATATTGAAAAAAAATTTTTTTTTTATTAATTAAATTCGTTTTTTGGGTGCATATAATAGTGGGGCGATAGAATAAAATACTTACAATCTGTAAGCTTCTATTTTTGCTAATTTTCATTATTATTCTTTTCAACTATCATTATTCTAATTTATTAATAGAGGATCTCGAACTCAAACAATCACACTTCATCACCATTTATATATGAAGGTTGTAATCCAAAAGAATATAAATTTATTGGTGGATATTCAAATTTTGTTGGGTTGGTTAGAGAAAGGTATCAAGATTTAGAGCTTCCAAGAGATATTAAGAAAGAAGGTGGAAAAGAATGTGAAGACGGTGTGTGTAAAATTTAAATTAATAAAATGTCGATTCGTGAAGATTAGGATTCTTAGTTTCCCACTCATATATACATAATTTGTTGGAGCTGAGGTATTCAGTAAATAGTACTATACGTCAGAACTGGTTTCGAAAAATTTAGATAGTACGTACGTACGGTTAACGAGACTTATTCGTCACAAAATTTATCTTTTATAAACGAATCCTTTTCGATGTTTAGATGTTAATACAGTTTCTTTTAATTCTATAAACTTGTAAAATTTAGACTAAACAATTTTATTAACTTGATCATAGGTAAAATGATCTTTTTTTATTTATTGTAAACGTACGTGCGTACTTAACTCTCCGAGTTTGCGTTATTTGTTATATCGTACTATTTTACTACATGCCTTTGGAATTGAAGTGAGAGAAACGAAAGCTTTCATCTTTACGAAATCTCCAGATTTAATTCCAGCAACGGAAATTGAACTTCAATGTTTGACACCGAAAAATCTTAATAATTAAAAAAATCTTAATAATTAAAATATAGATGGATTATAATAAAAAGGATAGTCAATCACTGAATTTAACAAATTTGATTACATTCCGTGTCAGGAACAAAAAATTTAGTATTAAATATCATTAAAAATCAATTATCATTATGCATGCATACGTACACATTTTATAATTCCTGCTTGATCGTCTACTTGACCTAAATTACATTTATATCCTAAAGGCTTTTCAAATAAATTAATTTACTATAGCAAACTATATACAAGTGACTCTCGATATAAGAAAGGTGGTTGGGTCCATAGTAAAAATTTTACAAATCTTTCTTATATCAAGAGTTTATTAATAAC